CTATATCGATATTTTGAAAATTTCGTATAAACTACAAACCGAAGGAATAACGTTAGTGTTAAATTTTTAGCAAGGAAATCAAATTTAGCCCAGCGGAAGGCATCCTTATTGTTGGGGGTGTTACTAAGTACTCCACGCGCGAACTAAATAAGGGCGCGCTCAATCGATAACGTGCTCCACACGAACGCCATTACGAAGTATTTAAAGGCATGAAACTCCCCATTGTGGGGGGACTTCCGCTCTCTCTCCTCACTTTCCACTTTCTACTATCTCTCTACACTTTATCTCTCTATCTATCCTCTCAACTCTTGCCTCAAACCGACACTAACTTGATCGTCGGAGCTTAATCCGGGGGGCAACCCCGGCTCTTTCACAGGTTCTCCCCCTCCCGACGAGATCGGACGAACGGATGACGAGTCGACCCACACCAACAAATATCATTGTTCATACTGGAGCAACTTGGTACAAACAATTGGCGCCCACCGTGGGGCTGGCTTGTCGATTTCGTTCTACTGATCTTTGAAGGAACTGGAGCACACATGAAGTCAGCAGGGATCTAAAAGAAAAATGAAAAAAATAGAGAGCTTTGTGCGGAGCTTCCTCTGTCTCGTTTCAACAAGAACAACAACAAAAAAAGAGGGGCCAAACGTTACTTCCCTGGGGAATTGATACAAGGAAGATGCAATTATTGGAGAAAAAAAAAAGAAAAAAAAAGAAGTTGCTGTTGAAGGAAGAGAAAAGCCTTCTCCTCCCCACCTACTGACGACCACAACATCCATCAATTTTGCCCTCTCCGTCGTCGGGCCACAACCACCAATCATCGATCCCATTCAGTTCACCGCCCAGCCATCCCGTATCCCAGCGTCGATGCCCTTGAACTGACCCACAAAAAAAAAAGTACACTTGTTCCATATCCCAACCGAAGAACTTGGAAAATTTTCCAGATTCCGTTCATCGGAGATGGTATCAAAGCTCCAACGGGAAAGAAGAATCTGACGCCATCCACATCAGTCATCACCTTCTCCCCCAATCTCCAAAGTCATGGGCCCTACAAGTCAAGAAAGAGGGGACAGTTGACGGGACCGCCCTCTGAGAGCCACTTGCTCACACGGTCAGAAAAAGAAGACAGGCAGAGTTTCCGAGACAGACAACGGGGCTACCGAGGCAAACTTTGTGCAAGTTGACTACACGACGGAGACACAACGTGCACCGAAATCGCCCGCAGCGGCCCTCCTCCGCGAACTATGGCCGAGAACGGGAGATGCGGAATACATCTCGCGGTCCGCAACAAACAGAGCCCGCCGCCATCCCGCTCTCAAAGCGTCACTGACTCCCCGCCGCCACCACGCATCCATCTACGGACTTCCCTGCCCCGATGCATTCGCGCTCAAAAAGTCGTGAAAGCTACCAGCTGTCGAGATTCTCCGTCAAAGGCAGCGCTGGTGATCGTCCACGAAGCAAAAGAAAATATGCCATCGGGGAAATAAGATCTAAAAGTGCCTTGACGATGAACCCACCTTCTGGGTCCACAAAACAGAGAAGTAGAGCTCCGCCCTCTTCCGCTGCCGCGCGTCCAGTGATTCACGGGTCCGCCATCACCTTCAATCTCAGCCTCCATCAACAACGCACTTCTCCGCTCTCCGCCTGTCCCGCGTCTTCGCGCCTGCCCTCGTACTTCCCACGCGGCTATGTACGACTTCTTCGTCCAGCGTCTCCGCCTATCTTCATCGACACAGGTGACGCCCCATAGACCCCTCGCGCAAAAGTAGAAGGGGACAGGAAGAAAGAAGCTCTTATCACGAAGAGCACGGCATAATGTGGCCACCAATCCACCTTTCCTCCTCCGCTCCCGTTCGGCCCAATGCTTGCCGAGCTCAGCCCGCTTGCCCGCTTACGTCACACCCCTGGCCATCCACAGGGCGCCAGGAGAATAGTCACGAACTGCATCATGCTCGGCCCACTCCAGCACCCGCGAGCACCATGGGCCCCCATCAAACTCGCGTCCGAGGCCCGCTCCACCACCACCAACTCGCCACAAATCAGGCGAGGACCCAAGCCTGCGCAAGTGGGCCTAACTCAACTAGCGGGATTCGAACCGCTGTCCGTCCATTCTCCTGCAAGCAAACAGAACCAGTGGACTACGGGCCAACTGTTAATCACCTGTGCGCGTAACCATGATTTTAATATCTCCATTCTCCTCGCGCTGTTTCTCCAACTCCAAAGCCCACTCACGGAAGATGAAACCCCGCAGGCCATCCTTGCTCTCCACTTCGCGCCAACCCGAGTCGCGGCCCGCACTCATGAATCGAAGTCCGCCCCACGGTCTCGGCCCTCACTCCCATCCCTCTCGCTAGCCCACGCGGATCGGCCCGCTTCGTTCACATGCCCAGCCCAACAGGCGCTGAACTCTTCAACAAAAAATTATTGTCGCCGCCAGCCTTTGAACCTGCGCCACTCTTCCACAAGACAAGCATCTTTACCAGCAAGCTACAAGTGAGCCTTGTGTTTCAATGGTGTGGCGTCTGAATTTTAACATTCGCGCCCACTCAGTTCGAAAGAACAAAAAATGGTTATAGTCATGCACTATTCGCGCACTCAGTTCGCAAGAACAAAAAATTAGCAATAGTCCAGCACTATTCGCGCCCACTCAGTTCGAAAGAACAAAAAATGGCAATAGTCATGCACTATTCGCGCACTCAGTTCGCAAGAACAAAAAATTAGCAATAGTCCAGCACTATTCGCGCCCACTCAGTTCGAAAGAACAAAAATTGGCAATAGTCATGCACTATTCGCGCACTCAGTTCGCAAGAACAAAAATTAGCAATAGTCCAGCACTATTCGCGCCCACTCAGTTCGAAAGAACAAAAAATAGCAATAGTCATGCACTATTCGCGCCCACTCAGTTCGCAAGAACAAAAATTAGCAATAGTCCAGCACTATTCGCGCCCACTCAGTTCGCAAGAACAAAAATTAGCAATAGTCCCGCACTATTCGCGCCCACTCAGTTTAACAAAAAAAAAAAAAAATCGCGGCGAGGACTCGAACCCGCGCCACTCCTACGCCCGACAAGCGACATTACCAGCAGTCTACATACGCACTTTGTCATTCATTGGCGCAGCACTCACATTTTAACGATCTTCCGCGCATACCGCCTCATCAACAGATCAGCCCACTCGCGGCCCGCTCTACCCTTCAGCTCGCGTTTCTGGCCCACCTCCGGCTCCAAGCCCACTCGCGGCCCACGTCATCAGCACTCGAATGCGCACAAGCCCAACTAGCGGTCAAAAATATATCGTCGCCGCGAGGGTTCGAACCCACGCCACTTTTCTACAAGTCAAACATGCTTACGGGCAGGCTACAGTCGCGTCTTGTGATCCTTTGACGCAGTCCTCTCATTTTAACAACACTCCGCGCGTATCGCCTCATCAACTCATCCAACTCCTGGGCCCTGCCACCAGGCACTTGAGCCCGCTTCGGCGTCCCCGCCAGCCCAACCAAGCCCACAGGCGCTTCGCTTCAAAAAAAAAAAAAAAAAAAAAATATTATTGTCGCTGCGAGGATTCGAACTCGAATCACTCCTCCGCGTGACAAGCAGCAATACAAGTAGGCAACATACGCGGCTTGTGCCAAATTAGTGCGGCGCATTCCACTTAATCAGTATCCTGCCGCCTCTCCAATTTAAAGCTAAGTACTCTATCCCTCTATCATTATTAAATATTGAAATATTTTGCTATCCTAAGCGTTAATGGCGCCAATGGGGGGCAAGACGCACCCAACAACGTGGGAGACGAGAAACTCACCAAGCTCTTGACGCCTTGAGAACTCCAAACTGAGGGTTAAAAAACCCCAACGAGGAGAGCTCCATGAAAAATCTACAATGGGCGAAGGCTACACACCTTAATGAAATACACCAACTGGGGGGCAAGACACAAGAAGCTGGCACCGCGTCAGCCAAACGCGCCACCAGCTGGGGGGCAACTGGGTACATAGGGCTCCACCCAAAATTACCGACGAAGATTTTTTTAAAAAAAGTAATAAGCTAGCGATGAGTTAAGACTCACCACCAGCTTGGGGGGCAATTGTTGGGGGTGTTACTAAGTACTCCACGCGCAAACTAAATAAGGGCGCGCTCAATCGATAACGTGCTCCACACGAACGCCATTACGAAGTATTTAAAGGCATGAAACTCCCCATTGTGGGGGGACTTCCGCTCTCTCTCCTCACTTTCCACTTTCTACTATCTCTCTACACTTTATCTCTCTATCTATCCTCTCAACTCTTGCCTCAAACCGACACTAACTTGATCGTCGGAGCTTAATCTGGGGGGCAACCCCGGCTCTTTCACAGGTTCTCCCCCTCCCGACGAGATCGGACGAACGGATGACGAGTCGACCCACACCAACAAATATCATTGTTCATACCGGAGCAACTTGGTAAAAACACTTATATTGGAGTCAGTTGAGCGAGGGGTCGTTACCATCTCCTTGCATTTATGTCACTTTAATTTTATTTTCTGTTTTAATGTCTTTTTCTGTTTTAATGTCTTTTTCACGTTGTGGTTTCTTAATTCCCTTAATTCAATATGGTTTATTGACTCATTAAATTTCAAATTTAGGTTTTTTTTACCACTTTGCAGACGGGTAAATTACAAGTTTGGTCACTAAAATTACTATAAAGTTCATGTTTGCCACTAAAGTTAATTTATTCTATTCGTAGTCACTTGAATTAGTTTAACATTCCAAGTATGGTCACTGACAGTTAGTCTCCATTATCTTTATCTTATGTGGCGGTCAACACTTATAATTGACTGTTAAATTATTGATGTGGCAGTTAAAAAACTAATAAAAAATAAAATTTAATATTATTAAATTTCCACCTCATTATGCCCTACCCCTTCAAAAATAATAAAATATAAAGCTAATTCTTTTAAACCCTCCCAACAGTTGCAAACAGAAACTGGTGCTCAGAGGCAGAGAGCTCTCCCGGAGTGTTGATCAGGCGAAGACTACGGAATCACCATCGACAACGTTATCCACTTGGTCCTCAAGCTCTCTGACCTCCTCCTTATTACCGTGCGCACCACCTGTGGCCAGGAAATCGAGTTCCGCGTCAACCGTTATCGAAACGTCAGATACCTAAAACACCACATCTTCCAAGAGGGAAAAGGCTTCCCTCGTCAACGAGCAAGAGATCTTCTACAATGGTTAAAGGCTCAATGACCAGCGCCTCATCGACGAGATCCGCGACACTAGAGGCGCGGACGCCGCCGTGATCCACCTCCTCGTCCAGAAAACCGCCAAGGTTAGAGCCCAACCGTTGGACAGGGATTTCGAGATCTCCCGTTGCCGCCGCAACAAACCAAAATCAAAGTTAGAATCAAAATCAAATTCAGAACCAAATGCTGAATCAGAATCATGAGTCGTTGATTGAGATTCTATGTTAGAAGCAAGCAGGAGGGATCTACCTTAACACTCTGCTTTTTAATTAATTCACCCACTTGAGGGGCAAAGGTACGTCGAGGACGAGGATGGGGGAAGATGGTTATGGGTTTGGATTCTAGGAACAATGACGAAGATGGGAAGAGATGATTCTAGGTTAGGGATATTGGGAACGACGAGGATGGTAGAATATTGGATTGGGGTTGAAGACGATTGTGGTTTGGTCATTCTAATAATTTCATGTTTTATCTATATTAAATTATTATTATAATGAGGCAGAAATTGTAAACAAATTATTTTTATTATTTTTTATTTGTCACGTCACTTATTTAACGGTCAGCTGTAAAGGTTGACTGTCACGTCAGAAAAAGATAATGTAGACTAATAGCTAGTGACCAAACTTGAACTATTAACTAATTTAAGTGACTACGAATGGAATAAATTAATCTTTTAGTGGCAAATGTGAACTTTTATAGTAATTGTAGTTACCAAACTTGCAATTTACCCCATTTTGACTATCATAAGTTTCTTTACAACAATATTTTTTTACTCTAATCATCTAAAAAGTTGATTCATAACAATATTAAAAGTAAAACTTTCTTTATTGTCTTGTTCAGTTTTTAATTTTCTTATCGCCATTTTGCTCTAACAGTATAAAAAAATTTGGCCTCCCCGAACACCAAATCCTGGCTCCGTCCCTGTCCGGCCCTGTTAGTATCTACTAACTACTTAAGGAGTTAGCTGAATAACTCTATTGTGACTGGAAATGGCAGAGTGAGAATCGAAGATTTAATCTCTTACGTTTGTTCTCTTTCTGTTCAACAATTGCTACCGTTCACTTACATCCAAATTCAGTGAAACGGCCATCGTCCATAGCTTTCTTTGTCGTGGGGTTTCTTTGACTTGCTAGAACGCTCGCCATTAATGGATACCGAAGAAGGTGTTAGAGATGGCTCCCTGGTTATGCTAAAAAAAGGAGCTCAAGCAATATGTTCATTTACTTAGGAGGTGTACATGGCCCGGGTGGGTTGGATTTTGACCACTTTATTCATCCAACTCATACACCACGGTTTACAAATCATGAAATCCAAACTCACCCAATAAAATTAGAATCCTACAGTCTGGGTCGATTTGGATTGGAGTGTACATCCTACCAAAATCCAACCCATCCACCACGGTCGAGCATAATTTAATTTAATTCTATTATATATTTATTTTTTATCCAATCAAAATTCAAAATTTAATTGCTTTCGAAAACTAAAACTAAACTAAGAAGATTGAGCCAATTGCAATTTTCCAATGTAATAATTCATAGTGTGTATATATATATATATATATATGGTGTCTTCTATGGTACCCCGGGTGAAATCCGGGGTACCGCATACCTTGAGTATGAAAACGCTATCTAGACCTCGAATTAGCAGGATTTTTGGGCATGATACTATACCCTAAACCTTGAACCCTAGGTCCTAATTATCCAAATCATAAACTATAAACCCTAAGATGGTGCATTGATTTTTTTTGCCTATATTTGGACGAATCATAACCGTCGATTACTGTTTCTAATTAAATTGATCTTGGGGTATAAGATTTAGAGAATTAAGACCTAGGTGTTGATCTTTAAGGGTTAGAGTATAGTATCATGTCCGAAAGATCAATCAATTCAAGTTCTGGATAGCATTTTCTTACTCAAGGTATACGGTACCCCGGATTTCACCCTGGGTACCGTAGAACTCCCCATATATATATATATATATATATATATATATATATATATATATATATATATATATATATATATATATGGTGGCTACTTCGGCGCACTCACTTTTTTGGGTGCACTCAGTGCACCCACTCTAAAAGTGTCCATATTACATCAAATTTTGAACTTTAATTAGTACTCTCAATCTAATATGATGATATGACATAGAATCATAACAAATCAATCTATTACCCTAACCCCTTAACCTTCAATTTTGAATCCCAATCCAAAATCCCAAATTTTAAACCTAATCCCTAACCCTAAATCCCTAAATCCTAAATCCTTCAAATTAAAGTAAATTTTGAATGAATTTTTTTCAAATTCATGTGCTTCTTATTCATAATATCATAAGAAACAATTGATACCGTTTTGACATGAATCACATGCTCAGAATGACAATTATGAGGCGGGTGCACTGAGTGCACCCAAAAAAGTGGGTGCACTGAATACACCACCATATATATATATATATATATATATATATATATATATATATATATATATGGTGCCTTCTACGGTACCCCGGGTGAAATCTAGGGTACCGCATACCTTGAGTATGAAAATGCTATCTAGAACTCGAATTAGCAGGATTTTTGAACCTGATACTATACCATAACCCTTAATGAGTGAACCCTAGTTCCTAATTATCTAAATTATAAACTTTAAACCCTAAGATGGTGCATTCATTTTTGGCCTTTATTTGGACGAATCATAACCGTCGATTATTATTCTAATTAAATTGATCTTGGAGTATTAATTTTAGAGAACTAAGACCTAGATTTTGATCTTTAAGGGTTAGAGTATAGTATTATGTTCGAAATATGTGGGAAACACAATTATTTGCAGTTTTTGGTTATTTCGTATTAGAGTCGGTTTTTATTGATTGGGGTATTATTTGGGTATTTGGGGGAATAAACAGGGAGTTAATTGTTACGTTTTATTATTCGGGTAGCAGTTAGGAATTAGACAGGTTATATAATCTGTAATAGGGTCTTATTTTGAGATTAAGCAATTACAGAACCAAAAACCTAAACCCTAACTCTCTCTCCCCTCTCTCCTGCGTGTTCTCTCTCTCTCCTTTCTCCCTCCCAAGCTGCGGCAGCAGCAGCCCAAATTCTTCCCTCTTCTTGTTCCAAATCCCCAATTCTAATCCCTAGTGGGATCAATCCCTAATTGATCTAGCTAAATTCCCCAATTCCCATTCAGTAGGAAATCTTGTTTCCTACATCTGGTATCAGAGCCTGGCTCGAGAGTGAGTTCATCTGAACTCTTGAACCAGGGAAAGCAACGATGGTGACAACGAAATCGATGAAGGCGGCGGAGGAGAAGGCCCAGGCAGCCGAAAGGAGCACCGGAACGGGCGGTGTTGATCGCGACGAGGTGGTGATGGAGGACCTTACCGAGCTGGAGGCGGTGAAGGAGGTGGTGCACGAGCACTCTGAGGCGCTAGCCAGGCTCGAAGAAGGCCTGGCAAGAGTGCAGGCTGAGGCGAAGGAGGATGCTGACGATCTGCGGCGAAGGCTGGAGGACCTGATGAGGGCAATCACCTCGTTGCAGGCGAAGGGAGGCGAACCAGAGAGAGCGCCGAAACCGGCTGAGCTGACGAACGAAGGGGGCGGCGGCTCGGGGGCGGCGGAAGAGGCGGCTGGAGGTGGGAGCACCGCGGCAGCGGCGCTAGAGGCGCCGGCGGGGGCGAGGGCCGCGGCGGCCGGGGCCGGTAGCGGAGCCGGCGGCGGGACGGGTTCGGCGAGGGCGGCGGCGGCTCAGGCGGTCGCGCCGAGTGAAGGGGCCGAGGGGAGCAGGGTGGCGAACACCGGGCCGGCCAGGGCTGATCGGACTCCATTAGGGCTGGGCTCGGGCCTGTTACCGACACCCACGGCCCAAGAAATTGCGGCCCGAAAGGGAAATGCTAAGATGGTTGGGTATGACGCCAATGGGCCTCCTATGAATGGTGGGCCGGGACAGATGGGCCAGTATACGAGGGTCCATAACGGGCTGGGATGGCTGGACCAGGAATATGGGCCCGAGTATGACCAACTAAGCTTGGCGGGCCAGCAGGCCCAGTGGGCTGAACAGGAGATGAACCAGAAGGGGGCTGGTGGGCCGAGCAGGGCCGCCGACCAGGTGGGGCGGCTCCTTTTGGGCCGGGACAGGCGGACGGGCCAGGAGGGGGTCGGACCGAACCGGAGCGGACCGGCATTGGTCGGACCAGTGTTGATCGGACCGAGTTGAGCCGAACCGGACCCGGGCGGACCGGGATGGGTCGACCCGAGGTAGGTCGAACCGGGCATCGACCGAGCCCAACTACCCAGCCGAACCGTAGGGCGGACAGCAGGGGTCCAGGAGGAGGAGAGGGCCATTATGAGGCGCCTCATGTCCCAGGGGAATACCCGAATCAGCCGGGTTGCTATCCGGGTGACTATGGACATGGGAATCCTAACCAGATGCAGTGCTCTCAGTGGGGGCAGCCATGGAGGACGCCAGGAAATGACAGGTATGGGTCCCAGTATCCAAACTATGAGGGAATGGATGGGATAGTTTTTCGAGCTAAGCCTCCTACCATTGAGTTTCCAAAATTCAATGGGCAGGAGGATGCAGGTCTTTGGTTGTATGCAGTTGAGAGGTGGTTTAAGAATCACCCAATTCCGGAGGAGAGGAAAGCCTACCTGGCATCGTTCTATCTGGAGGGCGATGCGCTCCAATGGTGGGAGTGGATGGAGAGATCCTATGCAGCAGCAGCAACCTTGATCACCTGGCCCATGTTTCAGGAGGAGCTCCGTTATCAGTTTGGGAAGTCAGATGGGTGGGCTCCTGAGCAGTTGGCAAAGCTGAAGCAGACCGGCACAGTGGCAGAGTACCGGGCGGAGTTCTTCAAGTTGGGGAACCAGTGCAAGGGAGTCTCGGAGGACACCTTGGTGGGGCTGTGCATGGCGGGTCTCAAACCCGAGATAGCTGCGGCAGTCAGGGTGTTTGAGCCCGATTCCGTGAAAACTGCTTTTCGTCTTGCAGGTCATAAGGA